AAAGTCTGGCACAGTCATCCTCTTCTGTGGAGTTGTGTATAGCGAGCATGACAACACACACACATTGATTTGTGGAGGAAATGAGGGAGAGAATTTGGGGTGCTATAACAACACACACACACACACACACACACACACGCGCGCGGACACACGTGCGCGAGCGCACTCACCTTCTCGACGAAGTCCTCAATGGCCCTCAGCCTGGGATCAGTCGGTCTATCCGGAAAGGAATAGGACGCTGCCCCGGCAGAAGCAGGAGCAGCAGCACTAATTGGACCAGGAACGGGACAGGGGGCAGCAAATGACGAGCCAGCAGGAGACGACGCAGTTTGGGACATGGGGTTCATGGTGTGCGAGGCATCACCCCCCAAGCCATCACACACCCGTACATCGTCCCCAGATGGGGTAGCTTTGCGGATAACCCCATCGTTCACCGCGACAACTCCTTGAGTAGTTGCGATCCCATCTACTGTTCTCCCCGGATCGACACCATCCGCTTGGACGCTCGCATGGCTACCATCGCCAGCAACCGCCGTCGGACAATTGCTATTCCTATCTTCACCTGAAAATCCACTTCCACATCCAAATCTTGCACCAGATCTCCAAGTCAGCCACCTTGGTCCCCGCCCTGGCTGACTGGCAGGACTCCCATCCTGAAAGCCCTTCGTCTTTGCGGGCAACAGGCCTCGATCGCTTGCCCTGATTGACATAACAATCCCGACAGCAGGTCCAGAAGAGGATGCCGACTTATCTCCCCACACCCACATCTGCTTCCAGCACTCGGGTACCGGCATGTACGTCCCTCCTCCGCCTCCTACCTCTGCGCGGTCTCTTCCTCCTCGCCCTCGTCTTCTTGGCTGTCCTGTCCAGCGCGTATGGCTTCCGGACGCGGACGAAACTGCGCTCCAAGGAGCTGGTTTAATTGGCCGCCATCGATGACGGCAGCGCCGTCGGCAAGTCGCTGACGGCGTGACACGTGGCACCGAGCAAGCGTGAGTTGCTCGACTGCCAGCGAGGAGATGCACATGGGGATCATGAGACGTGGCGATCCCGCGACTGGACAAAGGAGATAACCCACGGGGGAGGGAGGATGTCCCAACCCCCATCCCGGACGGTACGTGGGACGCGGTCATCATCAGGCCTTTTGAGCCTGCGCGCCGAGTGGAGATTGATGAGCCACGATGTCGTTGACACGTGTCCGCTCCGCGAGCTGCAAAGTTATTCCACGTTGTCGTCGTCGTCGTCCACGCCACCCCTGACGCCTTGTCACGGCCATCCTCTGCTGCTGCTGCTGCTGCTGCTGCTGATTGACTGACACCCCATCTCAAATGGCAATTTCTAGGCGCGACGACCACCATCGCTGGCATCGGCTATGGTTTCGAATCCCCCCTCTCTCTCCCTCTCCTTCCCTCCCTCCTGTCCCTCCTCTCTCTCTCTCTCTCTCTCTCTCTCTCTCTCTCTCGTCCTCCTCGTTGTCACCGGGGATCTCTCGTGAATGGAAATGCCTTTGTCCAGTGAAATTGCATCGGCTATGGTTTCGAATCCCTCCTCTCTCTCTCTCTCTCTCTCTCTCTCTCCTGTCCCTCCTGTGTCTCTCTCTTCTTGTCCTCCTCGTTGTCACCGGGAATCTCAACGGAATACCTTTGTCCAGTGAAACTCTGACTGTCACAATCTTCCGCTCAATTTCCTCTTTCGCTGCGGGGACTATCGGAGCAACCGGGATCAATCAAAAACATCCCGAACCGCCAAAAAAAGAAAAGAGTGACAAAATCGGAAGAAAAAAAGAAAAAAGAAAAAAAGGATGTGGGGGGGGGGAAACGACTCCGAAGCGCTTTTTCCCGACCGTTAGTCGGTTGCCGTACACTTTCTTAAACTTCTTCCCCAACCACAAAGTCCGCCCAGGTCTTACCGCTCGGATCGTTCTCTCCCAATCCCAATGGCCAACGAGAGCGGGACGAAGGTAAACCCCTGGGAACAGCTCCACTTGCAAGGTCTGCGGTCGGTATTATCTCTTTTCTTTTCTTTTCTTTTCTTTTTGGTGAAGTTCAGCGCGGGTCCTCAAGGTGGTAAAAAACAAAAAAAAAACAAGGTGGTAAGAACTCCCTGCAAGGAGGGCTGCGTCTATTGGTGGGGAGCATCAGCTGCTGGAAAGCGGGGCCCAGTATTGTATCGTACAATGAAATGATATCCAAAGCGTGTGACAACGAAAAAAAGAGTAGCCTCATCCAATCCAAGCAAGTGGGATTTCTGCCCTGGGTTTTGGGCGTCATCGAACCGGGCCAAAAAAAAAAAAGGCAGTAGTAAATAAAGAGGGCGATAACCAATTGGCCATGAACTGTTGAAATAAAGAGGTGCTAGGTTCCGATGAGGATTTTATTTTTATTTATTATTATTATTATTATTATTATTATTATTATTATTATTATTAGGCTACCAGCCGGGCCGCCCGGGTGGCCAGCCCGTGCAAGGACCAGAGAAGGTCCCAGCCAAAAAAAAAAAAAAAAAAAACTCGAAAAAATCCCTAAAAAAACTACGTTATGCATAAAAATAAACTAAACAACCTTTGCCTCAGGGTCACATCGAAATTCTTTACCAAATTTAAAATAAAAAATAATATAAAAAACATATTATTTTATTTTTTTTTTATTATTATTATTTTTTTGGCCTGGCCGGGCAAGTGACCCCGGGCCACTCTGGTAGCCTAGTATTATTATCATTATCATTATTATTATTATCATTATTATTAATTTATTATTATTATTGTTTTTTTTTTTTATTATTTTTTTTTCATGAGGATTCAAGTCTCGGATTGTGAGCAAATGGTTAAACATTCACAGACTAAGGGCATACTCACACGAGGACTTTTTCCTCGAAGCTGTGGATGTAATTGGGGTTAGGTTCGTGAAGGGCCTGGCCGTAATTGACGTCAGATGAATTTCGGAAAGTGCTAGTGTGAGTATGCCCTAAAACCCTTCCTTGGTTAGAGGGAGTGGGGACCACACAGATTTCAGCAAATATAACTTAATACTTGGTCAAAGTGTCTGATTGTGAATTTGAACTCACCGTTACTTTTGGGGGGGGNAAAAAAAAAAAAAAAAAAAAAAAAAAACAACTCACGGGTTCAAGTCCTGCCATCCGCCTCCCCATTCGCCTCGTGCATGGCACGTGAGTTGAAATGTCACAAAAAAAATACAATGATTGTTTCATCGCAAAGAAAAAAGTACGAACAAAAGTAGGGAGGGGGGAGCCACTACCGGTAGAGAGGACAAATGTCGTAATTCGTAATTAGGTGTGGACGTCGGTCCCAAGTTAAAAACAGTGCAATTTAAACCACCAGTACTTGGCCCATATGTCGGCCACAGGGCGTTGCCCCGCAAGTTTCGGAGGCCTCGGAGGCCCGGGGTACAGGACCTGAAAGGCTGACGCCGCCAGCCAAAACCAAAAAAACATTTTATTTTTTTTTGTTTCGCTGGCGGGTCGGCGCAAAACGGCGCGCAGGGCATATTCAGGCTCGGCATCCATAGCTGGCCCAAGTACTGGTGGTTTAATGTTATGGTTAATGGACTGACCACTACCTACGGTGGTAGGTCATGCGAACCTGGATGGATGAATCTTCTGAGACTCTCTGGCCAGGTTCGTTCGGAAAGGGAACGGTGTCAATCCACCCAAAAATGACCCTGGTCTAAGCAAAAGGGAATGCTCAAAAAAGTTCTGTTGCTCGGAATCTATCCGCATATTGGGACAAGGTCCCACTTGCATGTAATTATTAAATTTCTTAAATATATTGGCCATACATAAGGCCTGATAAAGGAGATACAATATATAACAAAGAAGATGACATGAGCATTATTATCATGGCGCTATCATTCCCCCCCAAAAGAAAATAATAATAATAATAAATATAAAAAATCATGGCACTATCAACTTCTCCATCTCCTCACCTCAATCTCCAAAAAAAAAGAACATCTCGTTTACTTGTCTCCATCATAATTTTCAAAAATTTCCGATTCTTCCACTTATATCTTTGGAATTTTATGTCCTAAACTCCTCGTTTTTTCTTTTCTCCACTATTAATTTCTGATTCCCCTTTGGGCAAACTAATGAAATTATTTCTGCGCAGGTGGGGGGTTGTGGTTTTAAGGGTTTCACAAGGTGGGGGGTTGGGGTTTTAAGGGCTTCACAAGGTGGGGGGTGAAATGCCCTGGAGGGAGTGGGGGCGGATTTTTGGGGGATACCATATTCAGGGGCTGGGGGAGATGTATGGGCTGGCATCATATCGCAGCAGAGGCAGGTAGGGGTGAGGGGTTGGCTGAGGCATACTTTGGGTGGAACTGAATGCCTTAGTGGAAGTAGGTGGAGGAAGCAGGTATGTCCCAAATTTGGGGCCTGATAAGGAGAACTTGTGATCAGGGCTGTCCTTTTCGGTGGAGGCAGTCCTTTTCGGGGTGTGTGTGTGTGTGTGTGTGTGTGTGTGTGTGTGTGTGTGTGTGAGAGAGAGAGAGAGAGAGAGAGAGAGAGAGATGTGTTCGAATGTGGATCGATATTGGCATATGCAGCTGTTGTCAGTCGGTAAGTCTTCTTCTTCTTCTTCTTCTTCTTCTTCTTCTTCTCGTCAGTCTTCTTCATTTTTTGTCAGTCTTGTTCTTCTTCAGAATGAAAGGGTCGATAACATGCATGCAGCAGACATCAGAGCAGCAGGCAACAAACATGTAGAGCTCCCAACCCAGTACGTATCAGATGACATACATTCAGCATACAGCAGGCCACATACATGCAGAGCCCCCAACCCCCAGACMCCCCCCCMACCCCAGCACCCCMCACCCAGACCAGCCCCCCCMCCCMCCCCCCCAAAACCCAAATTTTATTGCAGATTCAGGGTCCTCTCGCCGGGCGCAGAACAACCCCGGTTTCAAAAAAAAAATAAAAAAAATTCTGGGCTGTTTTCTGGCCCACCCGGTTTACCCGGGCGGCCACCCCGGGCCCAACCGGCCGGGCGGCGTCCTCACTCAGATAAAAATAAAAATAAAAAATCAATGTACAGTGCACACTGTTGAGGACCCAATCCTCCCACTCATAAGCTACTCAGATTGAGGATTGCCCCCTTACTACAGCCAATTATTATTCTCTACTACATTTCACTATGCTTTTGGTGGGGGGGGGGGCGGGGGGAAGGGAGGGAACAGACTCAGCTCATCTTATTATTTGAAAACGTTTGATCTCTTTTTCACCCGCTACAGTGAATTGTTATGTTCTAGATTTCACCGAGATTGGCATAAGGATGGCAAACTGTTGTATACTAGATTTCACTATGCTTCAGTAGGATTGAGGATTGGCTTGACTACAGCGGATTGATTCTCTACCAGCTAACTGGCGGGGGTGATATGAGCACCTGCCCTCTGTGCCTCGCTCTACTACTCGGCTGTTCCACTACTTAGCAATTCTACGCGGCGTCGGATGCCAGCTGTATCCTTGCGACCAGTTTCAAAAAATCCAAGGGAAATTTTGTCTGGCGCCCCTGTAGTTTCCATTATTTTGCGTCGCACCCCTCCGACGGCCCACTTACCCTGTCGTGCCCCTCTGACCACGATTCAAATTTCCCATAGAGCCCCGGCATCGGCTGGGCCTGAAATATTTTTGTTATGCTCCTACCGGTACCAGTTCCAAATTTGCAGTGTGCCCCTACCAGATGGCCGTTGAGTACCAGCTTCAAAAAAATCCATAAGCCAGGGCGCTTGTTTTCAGCACACCTCTATGGCTACGCGCATGGCGGCCACTTCACCTCTCTCTCTCTCTCTCTCTCTCTCTCTCTCTCTCTCTCTCTCTCTCTCTCTCTCTCTCTCTCTCTCTCTCTCTCTACACACACGCACACAAACACACACACGCACACGCACACGCACACCAACGTACGATCGCATGACACACACACACACACACAATCAGTTTTATGTCTGTTTGTTTCCCTCTTGCTGTCTGTTCTTCCGAGTTTTTTTTTTGTTTTGTTTTTTTTGTTTTTTGTAACCCAACTGCGCACCCTTATGTAGTGCCAAACAGTTGGTGGTTCCTCGTTTGGAGTGCCTACTGCACTCTTATGGGGGGCGCTCAGTTCGGGATGTCTCTGTTGCCTGTAGGTGATGATGGTTGCTCGTCGGAGTGACTCCCTGGCTCAGTGGGTGGTGGGAACCAACAGTCTGGAGGGTTCAATCTTGATGTGAGTAGGTCATGCGCTGCTTTGCTTCGTGTTGGATGTGTGGACTGCCTCGTCTGCGCACCACCGCCGCCTTGCTGCCTGTCCCGCTTGCTTTGCATGTGGTTCTCTGCAAATTGCTGTGTTTGCTGTGTGGTGTGGCTGTGTTGTCGGTGTTGCCTTGCGCTTCGCTGCTCTGCTGCCTTGATGCCCATCCACAGGCCGTGCCTTCGGAAGTTCCGTGTTTCCGCGCTGCATGCCATGTCTTTCCTTGCAGTCATTGCTGGCGTTGTGCAGCCGTGTTGCCTCTACTGTCCTGCCTGGTGCTCCACAGGGTCGCCACCCGCTGCTATGTTCTGCTTGGGGACAGTCTGCCTTCAACAAGGGTCAAAGGGTTCATGACCCAAACCATCTAATACGGAGATTCCCGCAGATTGTCGAGGGTTCAGCCTCCTGATGACTCGGTGCAACTCCGGCGAAACAATCTTTGATCAT